GCTAATTCCATACCATCATTCTGCTCTTTGTGTTGTTGACTACTAGTTGTTCAATTTCCCTTAAACTGGAAACACAAACTCTGCTTCAATGTCATGATAAAGAACAAGGACTATGTTCTAAGTTGCACAGAATTTTAAGCAGAGTTCATCATGACACACGGGATAAGTGTAATGTCTTTCCAGAGGCATGCTCAGTTAACCACACTACATCATGACCAAAAGCGAACCTGGAGTCATTTTAAAACAATTTTAATAAGCTTATGGTTAATTCTCCTCCACCATTAAAGTGAATTTCTATCAGCCCAGTGCTCTTAGAATCACAGTCTTAGTGCAAATGAACATTGAAACAAATATTTTCTGTTGCTGTGTCCTATAATGTTGATCTAACACTCCAGAAGGCTCCAATATTTATGAGGAACTCTGTATTTGCTGCCATTGACCCATTCTCTTTAATGGCAGAGAAAGCTTAACTATGAAACCCCACTATATGTGCATAAATTTTCTCCACACTAATGTATTTGGGATAAGTGTGCATACCTTCTTGGACTTGCGTACGTAAACCAGAGCCATTAGATGGGGGTGCTATTCGACAATCTTCAGCAGTTTTTTTCACCACTGTGCAAATGAATTTGACGCTGTTGCACTGACTATTGTAATTCTGCACTTTCCATGGATTTCTATATTAAAACCCTTCTCTGGAATCCAAGTCTTATGAAAAAGGGTGTTTAAATTATTCCGCTAGAGAACTGCAATTATAGTACTTAGTAAAAAAAAAAAACAACCAAAAAAATTATCACTGAACAATTACTATTTCTATTAATTGCTCATTTACAGCTTATTTAAATATTTACATAATTTTAGGACACTAATCTAAACCATAAATAGAATCAGCTTTTTGCCTTACATTAAAGTACAAATTAGAAGTTAAAAATGTTAAGAAATCTGATAATATTTACACATGTTAGGCCTTAGTTATGATTGCTCACATTATATGTCCTATGTACAGATAGCAAAATGTTATGATCACTACTGTAAAAGTATTGTACCCTGGCCTTCCTGTCCTTTTCCCCAAAGAAATATTTCACAATTTTGCTTTTCCTCCCCTAGATATTAGGACTTTTAAAAAAGTTACTAGTGGACAATGGTGTTTTGTTTTTTAAAAAAGAGAAGAAATAGGCAAGCAATGTAGGAGCTATTCTACTTTGAGATGCTTGGAGGTACAGTACTATTGTAATGTCAAACTGTGCAATGCTTTGTAAGAATCAGATGCACTGATCTGCTGATATAGAAATGCCCAGTTACCCTGTATAGTAAGATTTTAAATACATTAATAATTTGCTTTCTCAAAAAATATTCACATATCAGTTGATTATAGAAACAAAACTTATTAGCTTATTCCTTTAAAACATCAACATAAGGTTGTAGCCCAAATCCAGAGAAAAATGAGCACCACAGAAGGCTGCATGCCTGCAGTACCAAAGAGAAACCAGGAGCTGAGAGGAGACCCTGGTCTCAGCCCTGGTCTGTTCTCAGGAGTGCAAGAGCAAAGAGATGGGCAGGCTGCCTTATAGTGCAATCCTATGGCAAGTTACTCCAGTCTAAATTTAAAGAAGTCAATGGCTTAGAGTGGAGTCACTGCATAGGATTGCAACGCTAGTCTCTTTGACCACCCTCTTCCCCCCTCCTGCATTGGATCATTACTACAGTACTAACTACCTTTTGAAGTGCAAGAGTAGTATCCAAACCACCCACGGCCCCTTCCTCCCCTAATAGCTCATTTACCATCTGTTTGGTGTTTCTTACAGGACTGATCTGATACAGGATATACTGAGGCGACATTCCTGCAACTGTACTGTACTGTACTGGGATGGGGTGGGAGGTTACTGGAGGTGGGGATTATTCTCCTCATCACATTCAGCAGCCTGCCTGCATCTTTGGCATAGCAGATCCATAGGCAGAAACCAATTTCTGCTTATGGATTGCTCTCACTGGATTGGGGTGCCAATGTGTGCGTATATGGACGACACGTATGTACACACACAGGCTCATACAGACATATATACACACATACTAAAATATGTGTCTATATACTCATTATATACTTAGATAATGTTTGGTGTTTTGTCCACTCAGATTAACTTTGCTAACTATGACACTGGAACATAGTTTTAGTTTGTAATTTAAAAATTATTTCAGTTGCACTTTTAATAAACATTTTATTCTAAACTTAAATGGTATTTGTTCCCCAGATCTAGCTATATTCCTGCTCTCATGTTCTCTATGCATTGTGCTTTTGTATCTGGCAGATTCTAAGTTTTTAAATATTAGAATATAAAAATTCTCAGATGTCTCCTTCAGTGCTATTACTTAAGACTTTGTTTCTCTGGGGATGAAAACAAAAAAATGTTCAGAACGACATTGCTTGGTTCTTTCTTCCCAGTCATTAAAACAGCAATAGTATAGAAACATAACATTCCTTAGGCAAACACAAATATGTTGCATGAATTGTCAGTTTGGAAAATGCATATTAGACTTACTAGCAGTCATATACAGAACATATTTACAAAGCTTTGATCGCAAATATTATTAAAACTGTGCCATGTTATATAGTTGTAATTTTGCCATGATTTCACAAAGATGGAGAGAAAAACACCTTAATTGCTGGCTGGTAACTTCCTGAAACCTGAAATAAATGAACAATTATTATGTGGAAATGTGACCATAATAAAATAAGCAAGAATGTATTTCAACTCCATTCAAAGGTAACAGCTTATTGAAATTTCTTTTTCTGAAGCAAATAATGTCATACTTTCTCTCTCTCTTTTATCATACGCTGATATTACACAGGAGAAAACCAATGTGTTTTTTGTGTTACTGTCCTCCTTAAAACCTTATAGTTCTTGGTATCCCATCTACTCCTAAGAGCATTTTTCCTCTAGCAAAAAGGACCTCACTGAAGTGATTGTGCACTTTCTTTTTGTAATCACCCTGGGCAAAATTCATCCCTTCTGTGGCAAGGTCAGAAAATATTATGGCTTTTACTGTAACTTCCAGATATCTTAAAGTGCAGTACTAAGAGCTAATTTTATAGTTTCCACGAAAGCTGACCTGTTGGACAAATGTGAAGGGGTGAAAAAAAGAGACGTACTTTCTTACAAGGTCCATGTAGGCTCCCCCCCCCCCCCCCGTGACAGTGCTGGTATTTTGTCAACTTTTAAAACTTACATGAAATAATAAATAGGCATTTTTTGTGTAAAGGGGGGGGGGAGCCTCAAATATAACATGATGGATCTCACAAAAGATGGTCAAAGTGCATGCAAAATTATTTAAAAACATTGCTAGTTTGCACATGAACAACATCACAAAAAGAATGACGTTCTGACTTTCAAAGTGCACTCAGGAAAAATGTAGATGGGAAACCACCTCTTGTCTGAATCAAGTGGTCAGTGCTTCTGCAAATATACTGCTGCATCCAAAACTTCCAACTGGCTCTGAGTAATAGGCACCCAGAAATACGTAGTTTAAAAGTCCCTTACAAAAGAAACATGAATGTGTTCATGTTTTGTGTTGCTAAAAACAATAATTAGATAGAAAAGATGCACAAGCAGAAAAAACGGACTCTATTCACCATTTCAGAGGAAATTCTTTTCCAACAATGTGTTATTTCTTGAAACAGAAACACACCTCTTATTCCCTTGACTAAGCATTAAGAACTCAATTTGAGTCTAGCAATGAACTCTACTAAACCAAATGTAACGAACATATAATATAGTTACCTGAAGAGTGCGAGGAAATTGGGGCTGGACAAGGTGAAGGGGCAATTTAGAACCCAGGATGAAAAAATTCCGCTTCTTTCACCAGGAGATAGTGGAATATTCAGCTATATATAAACAATATAACTAATATTTCCTAAGTTCTCTCATTCAAAATAATAACAACACCACACCTCTATATTGAATGCAATGATTCGGAATGAAGAATCTTTCTCTCTGCTAGAATTTTGGTCTTTTCTTTTAAAATATATGATGTCTAAGCAGCCAAAGCATTTACAGATATGATTTTGTTCAATATCTTTAACCTGGAAATGAGATAAAAATCAAATTAATAATACAGAGTTTGTTGAAAGGGTTCAGGCAAACTGATACTAACCATTTGTACAGTATGTATAACTTTTTTCTGGCCATTTTTTTAAAAAAAGCATTCTCCTTTCTCTCTCCTATAAAGAATGATGAAGTACCAACAGAAAGTCCCCTATGAAGTCACTGCTGGCCCACGGCATTTGGCACTTTACACATAAAATGGTCTCAGACATTATGCTTAATGGCACACTGTTGCACATATTCAGACAACTCTCAGATTATTCCATGGATCATACTTGCACAGCATGATAACCAGGATGGCTGTATCTTTTAACCACATGCCGTGATTTTTTCCATGAACTTGTTACATACTTGAAACCTCACTCAAAGTTTCAATTCTCACAGCCAGTAACATGAACTGTTTGGGAAAACACTGATGGTAGGCACTGCTTGTTTTCAAGTTCATGCATTTCAGAGTTAATGTAGGAATATGGTCTGTAAGTATGATACACATAAGATTACCCTTTCTACAGTCAGGTAACACAGTGCATGTTTCAGATGTGATGAGGCATGATACATTGCTCTTAGAACTCAAATCTTATAGCTTTCTATGTCTGTAATGTTAAAATGAAGGCTGACGGAAACAATGAAATGATCAAGTGCCAGATTCTGCTTCCACACACAATGTAATGCAGTTATTTCTTTAAAGGTCATGGTGTACTGTGACTAAACATGTTTCACAGTTTTGCAAAGGAAATCCAAATGTTACAAAAAGGATTTATAGAGTGGGCCAGCAACTAAGGTGTTTTAAAATAACTTTTGTCCTGAATAGGGTTGTTTTTCCTCCCTAAGTCCCACATTTGGCTGTACAACTGGTTTTGAAGAGAAATCCAGTTCTTGATATCTGTGTGGCTTTTGTTTTTAGTTCACATAATAAAGCCAATAGACAATATTGAAGAAGGAAAAAACAACAGGGAAGAATATGCGTGACCATCGATCTATGGCATTCACATCAGTCAAGTCAGGGATGTTAATTTTCAACTGAGAGGCACGTCTCCGTAGCCGGCTTTTCTTTTGTGCCACATGCCGTTCAAGGGCGTTACGGCCAAAGCTGTGTCTTGGTAAGCCAGCCTTCCGATACTGGATATTTGAGGTATCGTAGGCCAACATGGTGCTTCTAGGGTCTCCAAGACCTATAACAGCTTCAGAGGCAGCCATCTCGTTTTTAATTTCAAGCGTGCTCAACAGAATGTTTTCATGAGGATCCATCTGGAAAACACAAGAAGGTGTATTAGTGTGAGCAGTAAGCCCCCCACAACAAACCAAATCAAATCGGACCTAAGACACCTAGCTGTAAATGTCAACCTACAAAAGCCTATACTTTAAAGCTGCAAGTATATTTTCATTTCTGGATCTTATACTTTGAAAGCACAGCAAGTATATTATATGATAACATCCATGGCCACATGTTTGCTGCCAAAAGTCTCGGAAGTCTGTGGCACTGCTATTATGTACCTGAATGAAGCGCTACATTTCTCAGTCCTAAAAATTCTGTTCTGACAAGACTGCTCAGCATTCACAGTAAGAATGATCTCAATAGTGCTGCAGAATGAGACAATGTAAATATGATTTCTGTCTTTAACCCAAAGTTCTGCATTTCATCTAGGGTCCTGGAGTTTTGATACAGTCCTCATGCTACTGACAGCAACATGGAAACTCTCAGTTCAGAATTCAGATTTTCATATAAAGATCTGATATTATCTGCTAATGGATCTCTTTCAACTTGCAATGGTCAGGATAAATGTCCTCTCTTCATAAACAATTTATCGTGGAACAATTCATCCTGTCAGAACACAATAATGGCCATGACACTAAGTTGTACCACAACAGTAAAAATAACCAGGCATTCATTTCAGAGTACCAGTGTCAATTATATTGTTTTGGTGTATCATTGGTATCTGTAAAGTCATAGAATTTTTTTAAAATGCCATTTATGTTTCTAGTGTTAAGCAGACAAAGGACAAGTGAGAAGAGCCACACCGAAATACACTGGGAAGAAGTATAAAACAGCGCTCTGTCATTCGCAATCTTTTCTTCAGAAAAGTATTTCTTGATTATTTAGGAAGGATCTTTTGCTGAACAGAAAGGGCCAGTCTTTGATTTTAATAGGTATTATAAGGAAACAGTGATTTTTTTTAGTATATCATACTTTTTAAACGTTCTTAATTTTAATAGGTATTATAAGGAAACAGTGACTTAAGTATATCATACTAAAAAAAAGTCCTTACATTTAATTGGTATTATAAGCAATGTTCCCTCTAAACTGTGGAGTCTTGTGAGCAAAAATTCTGCTTTGTGAGCTATTGGCATTAAAGATGTGAGCGAGCAATTTGGGTACTCCATAAATTAGTTTGCTCTGGAGCCATCCTTCCTGACTTAAGACAAAAATGTGTGAGCCGGAGGCTTTTTAAAAAGTATATCATAGTTTTTGCTCCCAGTTATCAGATAAAAAAATTCATTTTAATGTTTAACTGACACTAATTAGAAACCCAGAAACTTTAACAGGGTTAATCTTCATAAGTTTTCTTAACAGACCTTAATAGGCCAAATGACATCTTTTAGTGGGCAGTATTCTAATGGCGTAAGATGTATTTTCTTTCTGCTTTACATGCTTCTGTATAAACACAGAATAAACTGTATTTATGTACTGCCTGATTAACCAATCTGTGCATTATTTCCTGAATGACACCTCTGTCCTAGACCCATTTGAGTTCTGCTTCCGCCCTGGGTTCAGGACAGAGACGGCTCTGGTTGCCCTCACAGATGACCTCCGGAGACACCTTTACAAAGGTAGGTTGGTGCTGCTGTTGCTATTAGATCTAACAGCAGTGTTTGACATAGTCGATTAGGAACTTATGGCCCACCGCCTCGCTGACGTGGGGATTTGGGGGACTGTCTTACAATGGTTTGTCTCCTTTCTCCATGATAGGGGACACAGCAGGGAGAGAGAGGTTCGCAGTGCTACCCTTTGATATGCAGAATCCCTCAGGAGCCGATCCTCTCCCATATATGCGCCCCCTTGCTCAGTTGGTCTGGAGGTTTGGGCTGGGTTGTCACCAGTATGCTGATGACAGCCAGGTATATCTGTTGATGGATGGCCAACTGGATTCCAACCCAGAAGTTCTGACCAGGACATTGGAGGCTGTGGCTGGATGGTTGAGGCAGAATCAATTGAAATTAAATCCAACAAAGACGGAGGTCCTGTGCCTGGGTTGTGGGGGTCTGGGGGTTGGGGATCCCGCTCCCAGCCTTTGGCAGGGCACCTTTAATACCAGTGTCAACAGTGAAGAGAACAGGCATGATTTTGGATGCCTCTCTCTCAATGGAGGCCGAAGTCACAGCTGTTGCCAGATCAGCTTTTTACCATTTATGTCTGGTCAGACAATTGGTACCCTATTTCTCCTCCCATGACCTTGCCATTAGTGATCTGTGCAATGGTCACCTCCAGGCTGAATTACTGTAACATGCTCTACACAGGGCTACCCTTGATATTGATCTGGAAACTTCAGCTGGTCCAAAACACAGCTGCGAATGTTCTGACATTTGTCAGAGAACATATACAACCAGTGCTCCGCCATCTGCACTGGCTCCCAGTTCAGTATTGAGTCAGGAGATCAACATCTTCTGGTGGTCCCCGGCCCAAAAGACATCCACTTAGCCTCAACCAGAGCAGGAGCCTTTTCTCCAAAGTGAGATCGGGGCAACGTGGGACTTGCTTCAATTCCACAGGGCCTGTAAAACAGAGGTGTTGCACCAGGCTTTTGGTTGAGGCAGCGGGTGTCCAATCTTACTGTCCTACCCTGCCTCATCCTGCCTTATCTTCTTCCATGTTGTTCCATCTCACGCCACCTATTTTGGTGTATCGGCAGGATACTGCCTACTCTCTTTGCCTGGTTGCTTGGGCACTGCAGGCTGAAATTCAAATTTTCATCTTGGAATGCTGTGATTTGTTGGTTATTATTGAGGAATTATATTGTTGAATTAAGTTTTATAAATTGACTGTTCTATTCAATGTTGTAACCGCCCTGAGCCCTGTATCCTAGGGGAGGGCAGGATATAAATCAAATAAATAAATAAATAAACTATAAACAATGTCCATTTCACTTTAGCAGCTTCTTCCATACTTGGGAGAAGAATTCTCACTTCTCCCACACATACACTCCAGTCTTTTTCTTTGGTTTTAAGGATAGTCCTATTTCAATATGTCAAGGCTCTTTAATTTCTATCTCTAGAAAAAGAAGCCTGGGAGAATTTTAATCCTAATGGCAAAGCAAGTATGGAATCGTTTTACTGAGTACCAGTGAAATGGGGTTTCCTTAAACATTCTAGTCACCTTTCCATATCCAAGCTATACTTTTTGCCTCTTCAATCGTAAACTAAGACAAAATGAACACAACTAGAACATTTAGTGGTATTAATGTAGCACTTGATAGTAGGGTTGTCAATTATGGTTCAGAAGTTCCTGGAGATTTGGGTGCAGAGCCTGTGGATGGAGGAGTTTGGGGAGAGGAAGGAGCTCAGTGATTCCATACACTGGGTGGATATAAATGGTATCTATATTTTTAACGTAACTTCTTATATTTTTGGCATTTTTCTAACAAATGCTTTTATGAATTTTAATTGGTTTAAAATATACTAGTTTAAATAACTACCCTCACCGTGTTGCTTTCAGAGGGATGGGACGTTTGAAGAAGGCTCCTTATCCACATTCTCAGGCAACTCGTCACGCATCATAATATGCAAGCAGAGCATGTTCAGGGTGTGTATTTCTGATGAGAGGTAAGTATAGACATACTTTTGTTTTCTATTAATTGTTGCTCATGTCTTGAAAATCATTCGCTTCAATTAACTGTGGCATAGCCATTGCATATATAGTCCACAAACCCAGACATCATCAGGCAAGTTGCCCAGGAAGCAATATTCAGACCAGCATTAGCACTGAATGGCTAGAGAATTGTAGCCAAAGTCTTACACATTTATAAATGGTTTAAATTATTACTGCTCAAGAAAAATGTTCATTTTAAAATTATTATTACCGATATATCCCATTTAACTATTGACAATGGTACCTTATTAAATACCATATACATCTACAAGCTGCGGCCAGGACTTACCCTTCCGCTGCATTTCAGGCTTAGGGGATGGGGAAACTGGGGGGCAAAACCATGTGGTCAGAGGCTGGCCTCCACGATGAATGGAGATGGGCACTGTCAGTAAACTGCCATTTGTATTCTATGTATGCTCTGTGTAACCTGCCTGCTGTATGATGGTTTTGTTTAAAACCCCAGTCTGGTGCTCTGACCACGGAGTCTCCCCCACTCTGCCCACTCCCAGTGCCTTAAGAAGGAAGTGGGCAGAGTAGGAAAAAACCCAAAAATGTTCAGGTGCCTGGGAGGAAAAAACCCAAAAATGTGCAGGTGCCAACTCTCAAGGAGATACTCAAAGTTAGGAGGTTTCATCTCCAAACCCCAGGAGTCAGCCAGAGGGGTCTCACTGCCCCTCAAGAAAGGCATAGGGAAGTCAGTGAGTGGTGGCAGCTACTGAAGAGTGACAGAAGCCCACCAAGGAGGTGGGAAGGCGAAGCGGGGCTCATGAGCCACAAATCAGCTACTCAGTCCCCCAGGGCTGAGGGTGGGCGCCTGTTTCACCACAGTGGAAAACTGAATTCTGTAACCCTTCAGCAGCAACCATCTATATCTTGTGCCAATAGCCACTGATGGACCTCTGATTCATGTGTTTATCCAGTTGAAGATTAATTTTACTTTTTATTTTTAGATTCTAATCTGAGCATGAGTAAAAGATTTGAAAGTGGTGTTAGTAAGCGGAAGAGGCTGAGACTTGAAAATGCTATGGTAATGAAGTTAAGACCAATCACTGCTTTCGTGCATCAACCACTCATTGAAGCAACAAGAGCCAGCAGTGAAACTATCCAGCCTGAGCCAACTACTAGCATGCAACCAGACAAAAACCTCCCTGAAAG